TTGATCTTTGAATCCAAGTTCTAGTACTAAGGTGCTTCAACCAAATGATATTTGGATCTCATTGTGTTGATTTTGAATCATTTTGGTCACTGAGTCCCAACTTGTACACAAACCCCAATTACTATTTCTCAACCAGTTCTTTGATGTGGCATTAGTAGATTCAACCCTATTTGTTGTAGTATTTCCAAAGTTGTATAACATGATTGGTCCAAGCATCAACAATCCTCTCTTTCACCTAGTCTAGAATTGTGCTTTCAACATATTTCAGGAAATCTGCGAAGGGCTTTAAGAGGGGGTTTTTCAAAATTTTGATCTCTTAGCAGCATAATCCCGACGAATGAATATTTATTAAATCATTAATTAAGAATCAAACACAAAATAAGGATTTCGAATTAACTTTTGAATTTTTGCTTTAACTTTGATCACAAATGTGGAATATACCATCATCTCTATGAAGTCCACATAAGAACAAAGTGGAAGGCGATGCTAGCCGTTTTCTGAGAATGACAAAAACTAGGATTTGAGGGGAAAAAACTTCTCTATTTATAGATAGATACTAAAACCCTAATGCTCTTATTTTGGAATCTTTAAAAAATAACCCAAATATTATTTATATTTGTTGGACTTGAGACTTCACACACAAGAGAAAGGGTGAATTGTGTGGATCATAAAAATTGGTTTTGAAAAACTTTAGAAAATAAAATAAGAGTTTAATTTAATATAAAAAGGATAGGGAAATATAATGCATAATATATATTTTGGAAATTAAAAGGATAGGGAAAGGAAGAACACCAAAAATTGTCGAGGTTTAATAAAAACAAAAAGACTTACTCCTCTCCCCAAGAATTGATCTTGAGAGTATCTAATAAATATTGAAAGCTTTTAGTACGAAAGACTCACGAATCCTCTTATACAATGAAAGATGGTTGGCCTCCAACAAAATAATACAAGACTTCAAAATATGAAAATTTAAGTCTTCTTTTCAAACGATAGATTAAAGTGGTTAGTCTTATTTCCACACAGTAAATTGAAGTTGTTTGTCTTCTCTCCACAAACAAGAATTATGGAGCGGTTAGTCTCCAAGTTCTTTAAACCTTGCAAGCTTTTTTCACGACCTGAGCTCGTGAAACTTAAACATTGTTTTTACAAGGGATAACCAATAATTTGGAAGATTTAAATATCAGGCTAATCTCAAAACTTATTCAAGCTTTTACCACGGGCTGAACATTAACCTGATCTTGATTTTATACTAAGATGACCAAGAACCTAAAGAGATCTTAATACAGGCTAATATCAAGCCTAAAATAGGGTTTGATCACATAATCCCTAAACCAAATCTTTAATGTGTTTAGTGCAATACCCTATTTCTCCAAATCATAATTATAGTTAAATGAATTTTGTTCACAATAATTTGACATAGGATGTTACACCTCTCGAAATACACACATATATTGATCATGTAACACTTAATTTAAATAAACATGTAACACGATATTTTAATGCATACAATTGACTTTAGGATATTTATATGACATCAATTCATCTGATCTGTATTTGAGATGTGTACACGACATCCAACTCATCTGATATCATGGAATCATAATTAACACACACCAATTTAAATTCGACAATAAAACTACATATTATAATTAAAAGCATCGATTTGTAAGTCTTCTCCAAATTCTTATCACATCTAAACATAAACGTACGAGAGCATACATTGTCTCTCAGAAAATATCAACATCAAACAAAGAAAATTGCTCCCTAGTATTACATATCAGAGTATAACCAAAACTAAAATAACAAAACAAAAAGAAATAGCTCGCTTCCACTCACTGAAGCGTCTCTACTCTTGAGTATCTGCACGGTGCCCATGTAAAAGAAACATCAAATATAAGAGGTGATAAATCACAATTAATAATAACAGACATATACTGCAAGGCAGAATATTAAACACATAATACATTTTACACAATCTCGATCACAGTATATTGATTACATTCCCACACCCAACTCACAAAATCAATCACAACTCAACAAATATATCAACAAATATACATATGACTTATTATGCAACTCTATGCATATGAATGTGGTACCAACTCAAAATTTGGTTCTCTCTGAAATCGAGTCCCCTCTTATGAATCCATGAGCCCCCTCTGAGCTCTAAGCCCCATCTATGAGCTTGGGATAAGCCACTAGTTCCCTCTTATAAACTAGCGAGCATGCCTCTTGACACAACTCAACAAGAGTGTATGAACATGTTAACAAATTCAATGCATTAAGTCCCCTCTTATGATTCTAACGTAAATGCATTGACAAAATCACATAATTCTCTCTCATGGATTACCACAACAACTCAACACCATATTTGTTGCATTATTCAAGCCAACTAAATCCCTTTTTTAAATAACACAGTCTCTTATTTGTTGAATTACATCCACTACCAATCAAAAGACAATCAGGAAGGCAAAAAAAGAAGAGGACTAGATATGTATTAGAGAATATAAGAGATGAGACACAGCTAAAGCGAGCTAACTTTGGAATCAAGTGCAATATAATGGGGCACAACACCTACAAATTGCATACACCAAGTCAGACCACTCAACCTGAACCAATTCATCATGGTCCAAGTCAGCTTGAACCAAGTCAGTCTGGACCAAGTCAGATTGCATCCACCATTCCTGAAGAAATTGCAACTTGATCAACTTGTCTTCCAAGTTTCTATTTTACTCTTTGTGTAACTTAGTGTCAATGAACAGAAAATTTAGTTTTTTGTATTAGTGTCAACAAAGACTAAATTAAGCTTTTTGTATTAATGTCAAAACAAAATTTGGTCCTCTTGTATTAGTGTCAATGAACACAAAATTTGACTTTTTGTATTAGTGTCAATGAACATAAAATTTGGCCCTTTTCTATTAGTGTCAATGAACACATGTTTTGATAATGCGATATTTCAACATCTTATTTTTTTACTTAATTTGGATTTTGATTGTGTTTGATTAAATATAAATTGCAAACAGGATAAATAACACAATCCCTTATTTGTTGCATTATTCCACCTAAGTTCCTTTTTAAATATTTTTGCTTCACTTAAATCGCTGCACTACATTATTACGGACCACTATGTTATAGGAGAAATGGTAAAACTGTTCATTACATAACACAATTGATAACACGTACCACATTCAATCCATTTTATTTAACCAACATTGAAATTACATGATGTTTTGACCACAACCCATATTTGATCTACATTAGTGTTTTAAAACCCAGCCCGACCCGGCCGGTCGGACCGATCTGACCGAGAATTGATTGGCCAGACGGTCCGATTAAGGGATAAGACCGGAATTACATTTAGACCGGATGAAACTGGTGTGAACCGGCCGGATCACCAGTTAAACCAGTGAACCGACGATTTTTACTGAACCGACGGGTTTGACTATTTATTTTATTTTTTAGGGCTTTTGAAAAAAAATTAACATAAACACTTTGATTTAGTGTTTGTTCGTTACAACTTGAGACTTCAAAATAGGTATTATTATGGTTAATTTTCTCTGATCATTATATTTTTATATTTAAATACATATACTTAGATTTAATTCATGTGTGCTTAGGAAAATAAGAAATAGGAGTTATGATCCTATCAATATTGAAACAATGGCCGACTATCCTAGTTGGGTATTAGAGGATTCACCACCTCTCTTAACCAATGAAGAGTTGGAAGCATTACGGAATGACCTTACGAATATGACCATCCAACCAATTTCAAGTGATATTGGTATATTTTAATATGAGCATAATATAGTTTGTGATTGTGAATCAATTTAATGTCTCATATTTACCATCTCTAAATTTTTTTTGTTAATTATTTTTTAAAATATTGTTATAGATCAAATAGATTTAGATGAGGATGAAGATGGAGATATGGGTAATGCACAAGATACTATTGTTGATACTGTGAATCAAGAAAAAAGCAACACCAGAGAAAATGAAGTTGGTGGAGAAGACAATGAAGTTGAAGATGGATATGAATATCAAGATCATGACAATTTGACTTCATGGACATAAAAAATTATGGATCGTTGAGTATGAATTTTTGTGACTTATTAATAATACTATAACTTATGAATTGTTAAGTTTCTATCACTTCTTTGAATTTATAATTTGCTACATTAAGTTTCTATCACTTATTTTGATTGTTACTAATACTTTTGTTTATTCTAAATTATTTGAATTTATAATTTTCTATATTATTATAGTTACAAATTTCAGGTAATGAATATATTTTTTATAGAAACCGGGTCAAAAGTCATGCGATCTGACCAGTGACCCACTAGTCCGACCAGTAACCCAGTTACCCAGTAACTTTATCGATCAACAGTCTGGGTTTTAAAATATTGATCTACATGATTAAAAACACTAAGTTAAACGCCAAACACCATTGCAATTTTCAAGATTTCTCTTGTGTTCAAAACCTCATTCTTCAACTTGAATATTTTCTTCCTCTGCCTTTCAATATTTAAATCCCTTCCATTAACATCTTCATCACCTACTCATTGACATCTTAAAGCACACATTCTTCTTCTCCTCCAGTTAGGTTACAAGATGGAGATTCCTCCTCTGAAGTAAGCGTCTGAATCGAAAGCAGAAGATGATGAGTGGTGGTGGTTTTAATTGGCTTCCGAAAGCTTAATCATGGAGAAAATCTTACTGAAACTGAGCATGAAGAAAATTGGGCAGCTGAAAACACTGATTCAGTATTTTTAGAAAACCTTTTCAAGCTATCCTCTCAAAATCCATCTCTCATACTCACACCCACTTATTCCTCAAAATACCCAACTATGTCCAACCACGTTCTGAGCAATTTGTTATCATATCACTGAATCTTTCCACTGAGTCATACACTTACTTGCTTCAGCCTCAAGATTTTGGCAATGTTACACACAATTACTTTCAGCTCTTAGTGAACTGCCCACAGTTTGTGTTGGTTTTCTGCCATGAATTACATTCATAGCTTGTTTTCCAAGTAAGTTTTACAATTTTTGTTTGTATACGCCATCAAGTATAATCACACATCTCTGTTTATTGCCTTTGGCTTTTGGTGTAGGCTAGTTTATTTCTGTTTTTTCTGATGGATATGATATGACTTCATTTGTGTTTTGTTGTCTTACTTCTAGTCTAATGTATACTTTTTAAACTGTAGGCCTTTAACCCCTTCTCCAAGCACATCCTCTTTGCGTGGAAGTATCCTATTTGTAATAGAGGATGACGGTCATTTTCAAGACATGTCTGAAGATGGGGAGGGAAAAGAAGGGGAATGGTTAGATTCTATGGGTGTGGAGGAGCTAAGTGTCACCGATTCTGATGGACAGTAATCTTTATTTTGAGTATATTTGGTTGTCGAATACTATAGAACATCTCCTCTCAAACTTTATGCTAGGTTCTTCTTACTGTCATTGTTCATATATCCTTAAAAATGTGAAGACCATATATTTTTTGATACTCAGAGTGGTTAAACTTTGATTTGATATTCTAGCTTTCAATTAATGACCTATGAAATTTACACTCATAGAATTTACTCTTTTTGGTCCTATGTTTGAAACTTAGTTTACATTTTTGAGGAATAGAGTTTGTCTTTACTGTTATACTCCAATTTTTGCTCCATAAGATCCCTCATTATATTATATAATGTATATATCATGCATATCATCGGTTTCAATGGTTACGGGATCAAAGAACTTTTGACATTAGGGTTTTTCTCTATGGATTGAGGTTGTCTTTCTCAAGATAGTTCAACTGGTGCTCTCATCATTCTTGGCATGGAACTAGGGTTTTGGAATCACAAGCATCATGGATATCGTTCTTGGCGAGATTCCTTAAGCTACAATGTCATTGTTATCAAGATTTATCAAGGTCAGGAGAATTAAGGTTCCTCCTAATTGCTTTCGGCACAAGACATTCCTTTAAAGAAGTTTAGAGGATCTAATCAAGAATTTCTTTCTTGTGATGTTATTGGTCAAAAGGAATAAAGTTGGTTCATGCATGTTAAGATTGGACGGTTCATCCATGATTGGTTTCTTGAAATACAAGCTTCCATTTGGCAAAAGAGACCCATGATTGGTTTCTTGAAATACAAGCTTCCATTTGGCAAAAGAGACGTGTTGATGGCATTATTCAAGATTAAGACTCAAAGGTCATTAGTTTGGCTCATGTCAATTCTAAGTTTCCTTGAATTCATTATGTCTCATCCATGGTTTTCAAAGGTTTCATACAAATAATTCAAGAATTCATCCAAGCTTCATTCATGATGTCATTAAGGCTTTAAAAAAATCCAAATGAAACAAAGTGGAGGGAGTAAGATATACTCAAATTTCGTTGGAAGAAAAGAAGTCAACACATTTGTGGAGTTTTGTTTATTACAAGTTCAAGATCTAAGCAAATTAGAAAATGGCATGGCAAGCATGGGAATTGTACATGAAATCAAAAAGTCCAAACGGGTTCGCCATAATTCATTTCAATTTCACTTATCATATACCATTGTTGCTTTCCACTTTAATCAATCTTACATCAATGCATCATTCAGATTCCAAGTGACTAAAACACCTAACTCCACATATCAATCCATGACCATAAATCATTTTGTTTCCGAATAAAAAGCCTTGTTTCAATTAGATCCAAGTCTATCCAACAATGGCAATGCAAAACAGTTTCATCACCATATTTTTACTCGCCATAAACCTTTGTGTACATAGAACCAAGTGAGACCTTACTTCATGATACAAAACTTGTTAACAAAAACAGTTCCAAAAGTGATTCAAAACCAGATGGCATTGCCTTGCTTCATTAGCACTAAACATGTCCAAGTTCAAAATAGCTCCAAAAATCATACATTTCAAAGTTAGAAGAAAATTACAACAAAAAAAACACATGGGAATCCCTAAGATTTTTTTCTAATCTTCAAAATTCCAAATCCTAAGTTTAAACCTATTCCCTCCTCTAGACTTCAAGCATCCATCAGTCCGGTATGCTAAATCTCCATCAATCATCTTCAATTTTTAGCTCAGGCTCTTCTTAGAAATTCTCCATGATTTTTACCTGCATTAATACAAAGTCAATACATCGTTTCGTTCGAACATGTGACACATAGTTTAGTAGTAACTAATTCTTAATGTCTGATTCTAACAAGTTCAGCCAATAGACTTAATTTCATTACCCTAACATCACTATCTTTCCTTTCAATTAACCAAAATCCAACCAAGAAAACTAAATCAGAACTATGTTTATCAATTAACCAATACTGCCCCGTATACATATCAGTTCAAGCGGGAACAAAAACAGGTCACCACCTCATGCCTTGTGCTCGTCAAAAATCAGCAGTTCATATATCCGATTCTTCACCTCAATTTAGTGCACCAAAATAATCCAAACATGCCCTGCATTGCATCGTTTGAAATCAGCCTGTAATGTAAAAAATAGTTCAGTCAGTTAGAAATCCAGACAATCAAAAAACCAGTTAACAATTTCCTAACAAACTTTTTTTTCTAAACTAACTTGCAACTTCCCAACTGAATCTCTAACAACCTAGTAACTAACCATCAAACAGCCCTAACTAACTCTAAAAACAGATTTCTAACTGCCTAATCCCCACTCTTCATATGATAACTGAATTTCTCCATCCAACAGCTGAGAGCTTCCTACTGCAGCCTATATAACAGAAGCAATAATAGAAATCAAAGGGGGGGATTTATCTTTTCAAGATTCACGCAAAAACGCAAAAACCACAGAAAAAGCTATCAAAACTCACCTCTCTACTCTCCCTCAATCTTCATTTGTTCAACAACCTTTTGAAGAATTCTCCTCTTCATCTCCAAGCTTCAACACTTCTGAATCCTCAATTCTGTCTGCTTCAGTTATTTCGAATATGCAAAACCGGCACCGATTCTGCATCCGATCATCATCAATTCTTCAATCATCAACAAACTTCCGCAACAACAACAATGAATTCCTCGAACCTTCATCTCTGCATCAAGGATTTACGATAATGTCGTACAGCACGAAACGCAGAAACCAAAATCCGAAAGAGAAGGATGAATGGGAAAAGAAGACATACCTGAGGGGTCCTCATCGTCTTCATTGCGTCGAAGAACCACCGGAGTTCTCCGGTAGGTAAATGATCTTCCTTTCTTCATAGCTTTGCTTCACTATGTGAATCGTATACATTTGTTTGTGTTGAAATGGATTTAATCCGTTAGAAAGCTCTAAACCGGAACTGAGGAGATGAACGTCGGAGTCAAGAATGTTTGAAAATGAATGCGATGCTTCTGAAGTGGAGAGTGATGAAGTGAGACGAAGAGAATCGTTGAAGATGAGCGGAGGTGATGATCCTTATAGCAAATCGGAGATGTTGAGGTGATGAGCGGCGTACGGCAGTAACGGCGGATACGAAGGCTATGTGCATCCGTTACTGGTTGAAGAGAATCGTCGGCGACGGCGAATAATGATGGAGTTGCAGCGGTGAGGAAGAAGAGAGTGAGAAGAGATTTTTCACGAAGAAGTTGAAGAAGCCTCAACAACATTGAACCCTAGCCCTTACGTCAAAACGCCATCGTTTCTCATTCCTCTCCATAATTTTTACTTTTTCTTATTGATAATCTGAAGAGTGAATTGGACTGGACTGGGCTCATCATCCATGGGCCTCATACTGCCGGGCCTTCATCCTGGGCCTATCGCCCTTACTAAGCTCACCACATGATTGCAACTCAACACCTCCTGTTTAGAGTTTGTCTAGTTTTTTTTTATTTATAATTTTCCTTTTTTTAATTCTTACAATGACATTAGAAATAAAGAGTTAGTAATCAAATAAAAATTTATTAGTTTCTTTTTTTTTTATGATTTAAGAATTAATTCTTTAGTTTCTTTGTTAGAACTTTTTCTATAATAAAAGACAATAAAAAATAACAGAATATAATAAATTTTTCAGAATTTTCTTCTTTAGATTTTGTTAGAATTTTCTATTATTGTTTACATTTAATAACCATTTTTATCGCCAAGATTTGGTGATTTCACTTGTGCTTGTCGAGGTTTGAGTTTTATACAGGTTTATCGCGAGATATACGGATGTGCTTGAGTTTTCGATTGTGATTTATTTTCATATCGATGATACTTTGATGCTTATTTTGAGTATGCGACCTCTGACTATTTGTTTATTGATGCTAGCTTACGTGAAGTTTTTCGGGTTTCTCTGCTTTGCTTACTTTGCTACGGACTTGTTGTTCGTTTGGTATATTCATGGTTTATTCTCCCGCATTTGTCTTTACTTTTCTGATGCCGCGAGAAGCAGGATAGAGATACATGTTTTTACCGCTTTCTGATGCCATAAAAAGTAGGAATAAAGATGTATGACGGGGACATCCGTTGTGGATGTATGCGAGGAGTATCTCTAGTTTATTTAAATACATGTTTAAGGAAATTCTACTTATTGGTTGTTTGTTTACTTTTCATCTTTGTATATACCATGTTCCCTCAGGGTGTTCTAGGATCTCTCAGGTTAGTGTTCGAGATAGACATTAGGTTTCTAAACCTTATAAGCTAATATTAGGTAGATGTTTCCCTTTTGTTCATCCCGACTTTAGACCATCTTTGTATGATAGCATTAGGATTAGAATCAGGTTAGTCTCTCTTAGACTTTTTCTTCCCTCTTTGCATACTTGCATTAAAACTAAAACTTTATTTTCTTTGGAAATTTCATAAAACACTCTAATGTTTCTAACCCTTTTTCGAGGTAAAAAATACAAATCAATTCAAACTTCTTTTGCCTCTTGGCTTTTCTCTTTAAAACCTTTTTCAGGTAAGAACGTATTAATTCCTTTATGTGATAGTGTATGATTCTCCAAAGGCCGAGTTGCGGCGGAATGTGAAACTAATATTGTTCATTAAAAAATACAAAACAAACAGAAACATGTGAGTCAAACTACGGCGCTCTGATTCCTTAAAACGGATACATATGCTAGTCACGGGGCTCAGTCGAGCTAAATTTGTAAATAATTCCTTCTTTTCCCTATGTTTTCTTTTGCATGCATTCCTTCTTAGAATTAAGCAATAGATGTAGATATAGAAGGTAAGCATAGATCTTTACACACCCATTAGACAGAATAACAAAAGTGGATTCCATAGAGTACTACGGACGTGAGGGGTGCTAATACATTCCTTTTGCATAATCGACTCCCGTACCCGATCTCTCGGTCGTAAGATCGTGATTTCACCCTCTCAAGTTTTTATTCAATGATTTTTCTTTCCCTTATGTGGGATAAATAAATACTCGATGACGACTTTATTGATTCATATCTGATGATTTCATCTGGTTCCTTCAATTACTAAGGATCATTAATTAGTAGAACTTGAACAAAAAGAAAACAAGTTATGACAACCTTGAGAAGTTGTTTAGATTCAATAAGGAGTATTAATTAGAGAAGTATATTAATTTCTAATGATCTGTCATACATCTTGTGGATTTAATATTTATCTACTCTCAGTCATGATAGATGTTACTTCTCTTGTTTTAGGATTGGCTTAATTTTTTTAAAAGAAATAATAGCAACAATGAAGAATAGGATAAAAAGAACAGGTACAACAAGAAGTCCTATTACAATGTCAGAACATGTTGTGTTGAACTTTTTCAACAACTGGAACAATATGTCGAAGAAGATGTCTTGACATCGTGCTTGCTGAGCTGGATTAATGAGATTCAGTTTGTTCTCAACATTGGCAGAATATTCAGGAGAATATTGTGCATCCTATGTGCGGCATATTTAAAGGTCCAGAAAATTCAATCACAAATCAAGGAGAATGAAGACTTTCTAAATAAGGAGATTATTTAGGAAAGTAAATATTGAAGGCAATTCTTGGGGCAGAAGTTTCTGCAGTTTGTTACAACTGATTTGTTGTGATTGAAGACCCAGGCCCAAAACCAGTTGGGTAACAGGTTATAAATAGAAGGGTTTGTAACCTAGAATAGACAGGGCTCAAAATGTATAATTCTAAGGGTTTTGCCAAGGTAAACCTCTCGGGTTGTGGAAAGGTTACCATGTTCATCTTGAAGCCTGTAGGTAAGAGATGCATTGTTCTTGGAGGAAGCTTTAAAGCAACTCCAGGGTGTGTTAGGAGCAAAGCTAACAAATAGTGGAGCTTGACTTAGAGACTTAGGTAGGTTGTCATAGAAGTATGTCTTCCAAACTGTTTATCTGTGTGATCAGAATCTTGGTGAAGGGTCGTTTATGCAGTGACTGAGATGTTGACTGCTAGACATCATTGAGATGATTGGAAGTGGGATGGGGAAATTCCATATCTAGGGAGGACCTAGGTATAAGGGTCATTGGGTAGTGATTAAGTGTGTAGATCATCAATGGATGCGTTGGTTGTAGGGTCTGCAAATTGATACTACTGATATTGGACTTCATTCCTGATTTGGTAGCCCCAGAGTAGGTGTTGTTATACACTGAACTGGGTAAACAATTCTGGTGTGTTCTTTATCTTTTTAGTACTGTTTTATCTTGTCTGTATGTTTATGTCAGATCAGATGTCTCAACATCCTTGTAGGACATCTGAGTCTTTGTGCCAGAATTTCAATTGGTATCAGAGCAGGCATCTTGTTCTGCTATGGGTGAGATCCTGGGAAGGTACTTTCTGGTCATGGGCAAGGAAGAAAGTATTTGTTGAAAAGAGGTATGAACTTGGACAATTCATACTACTGTATGGATGATCCCTTGGCAAGGATCATCGGTTATATGTGACAGGTATTGTTCCTGGCTGGCATACAGCTTAGTGGGAAACTGTTGTGTGTAGGGTTTATTTAATCAATCCTAGGCTGCCATGCTTATACTTGGATAGTGGTTTAAGCACTGTGTCTGAATATTTTTGAGGAGTTCGTTATATTTCGCTGCATGGCTACTGTTGTACCCCAAAATTTACCCTCTCATTTCTCAAGAATTTTCTCACAAGATCTTCCATGAATCAAGTTTGCAGCACTGATACATCAATTTAGGTTTGGAATTGACACAAGGGAAAAATGGCCAAATACACATTGAAAAAGTCAAACTTTGACTTTTTTTATCAAAATCAAGTTTCAAGAATCACATTTCATCAAGAAATGAAGTTGGTTCACCAAGAAAATCAAAAGTCAAAATTACTTTGGAAAAGTCAAAAGTTCTAAATACTTAGAAATTTTTCTAAGTCTTAAGAAAAGATGATAAGTTCAGAACTTCTGGCCAGATTTTCATCATGATGCAAGATGATTCAGGAGGAACTTCTGACACAAGAGTTATAGATTTCAATGAGATCTAAAACATTACAGAACAGAACTTCTCCTAGAAATGTTTGGATTTTAAGTTATAAATCCTTGAAGACACGTCCATGAAACTAAAGCACTTAGTAAATTCTGAGCATTTCCACGTCAGAATTTGGTTAGAACTCCTGGGTCAGTTTTCACGTAGGTACAATCAGAGTTTTCAAAGATGATTCAAATGTGGATTATAAAGCATGTTACAAGCTTTCTGAAAGGTCTAAGGACTCCTTAAGATCATGTTGGAGCAGGAAGAATCAAAGATCAGAAGTTGAATATCTGTTCTTAATTTAAGTTACGTTTTTGCTGAACTTCTGATCCATTTTCAAGCTAGGCTGCATAATCTCAGGTTACAGGTTTTCTTGCTTGTTAAATCTCATCATCATTTAATGCTCACACCTACTTTTGAGTCTTTATCCCAATGTTTAAGCCTTTATCCAAAAAATCTTCCCACGTGTGGCATGAAAGTACCATTGTTGTCCTTGAAAAGTAAACTTTTGTACAAAGTTTATTTTGAGCCCATACTTTACTTTGTTTCTGAGTGTACTTCTCCATAAATCATGCTTACAAATTCAGATTAGGCCTGATTAAAGCTGCTAACCACTCTACCTTGCCTTGAAGCATGCTTGTCTAAACTTGCTTCAAAAACAAGTCAACGATCCATAACACATGATGGTTGTACTCCTGATTTCTCTAAGCTGCTAAATCTTTTGCATATAAATTCAACTTCATTTGCAAACATCAAGGGGGGAGATATTGAAGAAAAAAATCCTTGAAACCTTGCTGAAAATTTCCAGGAACCTGAAACTGCAACACAAACATAAAACTTGCTAGTTTTTAGTTTTTGCGTCCAAACTCTAATTTTTCTTGTGCGTTGCTTGGCCAAATCATCCACACAGCTTCTGGTATACACGAAGAAGTTTTCCCTACTCCTGTTTTCAAACTGAAATACAGTCTTCACTAATCTCCATTTCAAAAGTCATAACCTTACACCTTGACTGCTCCAGAGCTTTCCAACCATCTATAACTCAAGTTAATGGTTACTTTAGCTTTCTAAGGACTTGAGGAAGCTGACCAGAATATTACAGCAGTCTGAACCAGGTTCTAACTCACAGAACAATCTCCAACAGTAAGGTAAGTTTCTTCTGACTTTCATCTCATTACTTAAGGATTGTTAGGCTTGCAATTTCAAAGACATAATGTAGATATCATGGCTCTGAGTCTGTACATATTTATAGA